GGTAATTGTCCGGGGTGATTGTCCGGGGGGCAATTGTCCGGGGGTGAATGGCATGGGGGTAATTGTACGGGGGGTGATTATCCGGGGGGTATTTGTCCTAGAACCATATATACATGTGTGTATATATAGCGCCCGAGAGAGTGTGTATGTGTGTGTGCGTGCGAGCGTGCGTGCGTGAAGAGAAATATTGCGAGAGAGAGAGAGAGAGAGGGTGAGCGGGAAGACGAGAGAAGTAGTTATATTAGAAGGAATATGTGAATCCGTGCATGTGTGTGCCGTTTGTGCCGTAAGTGCGTTTGTCCTATTGTACTTATGTTTTCTTCTGGTTCCTGTAGTCTATGTATACCAATCAAAACCATATTTTATTATTTATACATGATTATTTAGTTAACAAACCGATCGTAGACGAAAAGGGAATGGGGTAGATTTTGAGCGTAGACGAATTGGGAGTAGGCGAAAATTAAATGGGTGTAGGCCAACTGGTAATTTTGCCGTAGTCGAAATGGGAGTAGGCCAACCGGGAATAAACCATTGGTATACACATACACCAGTCTTGTCTTATGAGGTGTTCGTGTTCATATTGTCTTACAACACTTATTTTGGTCGTAATTAAGAGTACTACGAGCCAGAGAGACATGGAAGAGGGTCATAATGCAATTCAAATACTTCATCATACATTGTACATTTTTCATTGTACGTTTTAGTAGAGGGCCCTTAAAGCTTTCTTAATACCTCGCTATTTAGCTGATCGTATGCCGCATGCACGTACTTTGATCATACTTATTAATAAATAATGCATTATTACTGTTTGCACAATATGTTGCATGCGACTTTTAATGAACATGATCATTATTCCAGATGCAAGCTTACATTACGCAGTATGTAGGATGCAATGGCAAGAGGGTTGCACCCTCCTTTATTCATTTTTTCAACACATCAATGACATGCATTATTCTCTCTATACAATAATCATTTTTACATAAAAAATATTATATCATTATGTACATATCACAACAGTATGTAGATAGGGTCTTTGCAAATATATTCACGTGTCTATGACATGATACTTGTACTACCACAGGTCAAACATGTATAAACCCCAAACAATAAATGCACGTGGTTGTGATCACGAATCTGCAGGTTTGCCTGTAGCCTGCATGTCGAGTAGGTAACGGTTTATCAGTGGTAATATCTCCCAATTGTCCGTCGCTATATGCACGATTGTTTTCTCTGCTTCTATCACCATCTTGAAGAGGACATGCGAGGAAGGCGGCAGAACAATTCCGACTGAGACGCATTCTGCAAAGTAAATAGGAATTATTATGACTGCACATAAGAACAACAATCCCCATCTCACGACAGAGATTTTGTCCCTTAACTTATTACTATTCGATTTTCATTAGCATATGACTTGCTATAGTAATATAAATCCCAAATTAACAGTGAAACATGTATATAATAAGGGTCACCCAAGGGCATTGCCAAGGGAATGTATCAATAATTAATAGACAGGTATCCATTCTATAGAAGGGAAACACCAAGTATCCTTCAGAGACAGGTATCCGTTCTATAGAAGGGAAACACCAAGTATCCTTCAGAGACAGGTGTCTGTTCTATAGAGGAATGCTAACACAGGGTTGAATGCACCTGCCTTCTGCTTAACAACATACACAAAGTTCATTCACCTTCATATTCTAGGGCGATCACGTATTCCTTTAGGTCCGCAGACAGAATTGACATCATCTGCTCCTGTGGCAGCATCAGGACCACGATTGACGATGCACATGATGGATCCGTGTTAAAGCTAGAAGATAAAACAGAACTATAGCCATCTGTTTCTTACTTTGTCTACTACCCTTCCTTCATTCTTCTCCCCCCATTTTGTCCCTCAAATCCCCTCTCTCTCTCTGCCATCATATCTCCCGTTCCTTTTCTTTTTCTCCACCCTACTATCCTACCATTCTTTCGCGTTCTTACCTTTTAATAATTTTCCCCCTTTTTCATCGTACTACTAAAAAAGGTGTAATGAGAAACTGACCTGCACACATTGTAGAATGACTGCCACAAACAGTTGAACAGCTGTAGTTTATTGCAAGCAGCACCATCGATGATAGGCAAAGGCAGGAACAAGTCATCGAATCGCAGTTGGAATGGTGACAGCATTGAGAGGCATGTCCGACCTTCCATGTCCGTAAAAGTGAATCTGAAAGACGTGTTGATATATAAGAAACTGAAGATATTTAACATTCCTGTCAAGACCGCAGCACTGATATCATCAAGTAGTACACCTGCACACTATATGCCGGTACCAGTTGAACAATCGTCGATCATCTTTAACTATACTTCAGCCTGTGGCATGCTAAAATGGTACATGGCGAAGCTATTCGTATACATATGCTAATTGAATAGCAATCATTCGTATTACTCAAGATTATTATTTGACTTATTGCATAATTTAATTTACTTAGTAAACTACTCAGTAAGATGACCATGCCACTGAGATATTGTTACTAGGTCAGTTAAGCCTAATCAGTTTGTTTGTGTACGTGACCGTTTGCATGCCAAAATGTTAACTTTGAGGCACTTCACTGCCAAGAATTGTCTTTAGAACATGCTATTACAATAGTGATTAGCTAGTTGTCTATCAATCGCGTCAAGCAAATGGGTGACTGAACAACAACCATCACTATTACTATAAAAGCTAAATTATGCATTAATTTCGCATGAAATGCTGCACAAAGATTAGGACATCATAGCTAGACAATCACCGGAGTCGGAAGCTGGTGGGGGACGGCCGCAGTGGGGTGAATGTGAGCAGGATGTCATGGGAGGGCATCGCCGCAGCATCCATGTACACAACGATGTACTCCGCAATAGCTTCGTAATCCTCGTCCCTGTCAATCGTCAGGATGCCTGCGTAGAATCTCTTCACTGCATCTTGGTTCGGAGGCTGCGATAAAAACACACGAGTGCTAAAGTATGGATACAGTGGTCCCCGCTTAATCGGGACGGGTCAGAAACCATGAAAATATCATGGATAAGCAGTGGTTGAGTGTAGCAGATATATAGTGAAATCATCTTTTAAAGACGTCTTTGAAACCTGTCTATAAAGGATGATTTTTACATTTAACTTCAGTAGCAATTATACAGTGAAACCACCTCAGTTCACCTCCACAACAGTGAAGGTACTGTTGTGGTACACTGTGTGTACAGTGAAGGTACCTGCATAGAACAGATACCTGTGCACAAAGGACAGTTTTTCTTCGAATAACCCTTATGTACAGGGTTGACTACGTTTATCCCCAATAGAAGAACAGACTAATAGAGAAGCCGTATTTTCTTCCACTAACAAATGTCAAGCTGGCCGGAATCTCGATGGACGGCAACACAGCTGACTTCATGCTCGTTATGTAGCGAGTGAAGAGGGTAGAGTCATCTCCAGTCTTGCTATCAACCGCCACAGCAAGCCGGAAGCTCTTATCGAGGCTTTCTGTTTTTCTGTAAAAGCAGATATTTTCAGCAATATGTAATATTAGATTAGTAATCTACGACTCTAAGCGAGCCATTCAGGTAACTATAGTTGTGTCTACCACTACTATTAGGCACACATAGGAGTAACCAGCCCATTTTACTTAGATCTATTAGTCGTTGAATACCCTTATTACCTTGTTAGTTGAAGAATTGGGTTATCAAACTTGATTACACACACGCGTTCAGGAATGCTGACATCTTCAGACATGAGATTAGCCATACTCTTCCACGAGTCACTGCCAGTAGATGGTGCCTTAACCAACAAATCCTTTATCTGCAACGAGCAAGTGGTTAATTTCTTCTTCTTCTTCTTCTTCTTCTTCTTCTTCTTCTTCGTCTTCTTTTTCTTTTTCTTCTTTCAACATATGACTGATTTTATGGTTTTATAATATTGTAGATTCTATAACTTTACCAGATCTTCATTCGTGATATTATTATTACTATGATAATGATAGTATATATGATGGTGAAAAACATTTGTCATGCTTATTCTTCATATGGTGTAAAGCACATTTTATTAGTGTTATATATAAGTTTAAATAGGTGAGAATTGAGACTACACTATTTTTTCCATAAGCGTCTGCGTACCTGACTGTCTGGGAGTTTAACAAGCATCGCATAGTAGAACTTGGCTTTACTCTGAATGCCCACATCATTCGACCTTGTGAACACAGTGTGCAACAAATCTGCCAGCTCTGAAAGTAGAGGCCAATGACAATGTAGCACCCAGTAAACATTACAACCACAATGGAATCGAATCAATAATGTCCCATAATTACGTAATTTGTAAACGAAGGATATATATGCAAAACAGATAATTAATACTAAAAATTAAACTATAATAAGTAAATCACAATAAGGCAAATAAACTAGACAAATTAACGAGATAATTTCCCCAAGCAGTAAAACACACTCAATGGATACGTGTGACATGTGCGGCACAATGAACACCCAACCGTTAAACATATCTCACAATGAACACCCAACCGTCAAACATATCTCACAATTAACACCCAACTGTCAAACATATCTCACAATGAACACCCAACCGTCAAACATATCTCACAATGAACACCCAACCGTTAAACATATCTCACAATGAACACCCAACCATTAAACATATCTCACAATATTAAAACACCCAACCATGCATTAAACATATCTCTCAATGAACACCTAACCGTTAAACATATCTCACAATAAACACCCAACCATTAAACATATCTCATGTAGTGCCGTGGGATTACAAACATAGGCAACTTCACACACCAACTAAAACAAGCGGTCAGGGAATAAGCGATGCCTCCCGCCAGTCTCTAAACGACGTAATTAAGAGCCGTAAATAAAGTAGCCTTGTCACTAGGCGGGCACTGACCGAGGTCGCCTCCGAGTTTGTCGGACACATGTCATTAAGGGAGTACCTTAACGACAAGTGGTCGCGACACGGCCGGAGTGAACGACCTTCGAATAAAAGCCGCAACGTGGCGAGGACGGGGGGCAGGATATAAGGAGAGAGTTATTGGGTAGACAGGACTCTCCAGCTGCTAGGTGGTACGTGTTACACCGTTACTCTTCGTGTTCAGAATAAACCTATCGTTCACCGTTTACCGTTTACACCGTTGTTGTTCTGAATATCTACGTCTACTGTCTACAAGCGTATGCTCAACGCTACACTCACAATAAACACCCAACCGTTAAACATATCTCACAATGAACACCCAACCGTTAAACATATCTCACAATGAACACCCAACCATTAAACATATCTCACAATGGGCACTCCACCTTTGAACATGTCACCATGAACACCCCACCTTTATATAACACGTCCTGAGGAACGCCCTCTTTTTAACATGTCACAGCGAATGTACCACCACTAAACATAACACAACAAATGCATCACCTTCAAAATAAGTCAAACGATGAGCACACACTCTTTAACCTATACCCACTACATCATTAAGTCCCTACGAACGCCCCACCTTCACATCAGACACGCACCTTCAAACATGTCCCTGGTTGGGTGTGTCTGCAGGAGGGAACGGCAAACACCTATCAGCTGATGTCCTACGAGTAGGTCCCCCTCAGTCAGGATGGGGGTCGACTCACAGACGCTCAATAGCAGCTGAATGATCTTCTGCAAATTACACAGCAATGAATGAATGAACAAAGCAATGAAATAATGAAGCAACGAAGCAACGAATGAATGAATGAACGAAACAATGAATGAATGAAACAATGAATGAAACTTTAACTATATGAACAGGCCTGCCTATGAGGTAAGTGCAGGGTATAACCTGTTATTACAAGGACATGCCTACCTGGAAACATACATGAGTGACTATAGCCTCAATATATCATTATAATTATAATTATAACAGTAACTACAGCCTTAGCGGTAAGGACAGGTAGACTCACCTGTGACGACACGGAGGGCTGTGCGGCAGCTTCCTTCAGCAGCATGAGATGGTAGCTGAGATTCTCCTGCACCACAGCCATGTCATGCTGGGTGACCTGCTCCAGTATGCACAGCAGCATCTGATGATAGCACGATCTATAGTATAGCATCAAGACTAGAGTAATTAGATTATGATCAGATTAGACAGATAATATCAGATAATATCAGATCATATCAGATGATATATCAGATCATATCAGATGATATATTAGATGATATATCAGATCATATCAGATGATATATCAGATCATATCAGATGATATATCAGATCATATCAGATGATATATCAGATCATATCAGATATATCAGATAGATAACCTGCAATAAGGATCGTTACATCTGCTAGTTTGCCTGTGGAAAGGTGTGCTCTAAATAAATCAACTGTATCTTATTGGCTGTTGATGAAACATGGGACTTTTGAGCTTAAACTAAGATGAAAAAAATGTGTCAGATTGATTAATATGAATTAATACTACTATGAATTAATATATTTATGTTTTAATATTGTTCTCTTGATTGGTAGTAGAAAATATCATATTTGAAGCCCAGGCAGCATTCACATACCCTTGAACTTCAGTCTTCTGAACACACTTGAGAAAATCGAGAACATGTGGCATAAGGAAAGGCTCTGCTTGAACCAGAACTTCTACAAATCTGGAACACAAGCATACACAATACAATACCATGAAATATCTATACTATATTACTATCTATGTATGAATATATACTCCATTATACCATCTCTGTATAGTTATATTGATATTATAGTCTAAGCGACGAATAAATCAATTCCATTCTAAAGCACAATTTTCAAATATAACTTTGATAATGCAAACCCGGGGTGACTTGCTAGTATAGTGTCAATGCTGGATGTTAGTTCCCTGTGGTTAGTCTCCATGACTTACCTACAGACTTCAGCTGCGAGTTCTGTGCCGGGATGGCGACTGAAGTAGGTGTAAAGAACGCGGAATAACGCCGGCCCGTACTTGCCCGACTGACTGTAATGTACAAGCTTGCGCTGTATACCCAGGCTGCTGATAAGAAGTCTTGTATCAACATCTGAAATACGCAGGCATGTACGACATCAGATGCACCATCTCAAACAGCGGTACCTTTACACACAGAGAAAAAGAAGGAATAGAAAAAGCCAGGAGGAAGGTCATATGCTTCCAAAACATGTCCTTAATATAGGGAGTGTACTCAGAGAGTAGGCAGCCTCTACATACACTATAGAGAGAAAATCCATACACACAGAGGAGGCAGCACCTCTACACACGCACGCATGCATGCACACAGGTACGCACGCACGCACGTACGTAGGTACGCACACGCACGCATGCACACACGTACACACACACACACAGACACACGCAGGAGTAGGGGAACAGAGCAAGAAGAAAGAGGAGAAAGAGAGAGGGAGGAACCCATTAGAAAGAGAAGATGTAGCCCTTCTTTATCTATACAGGAGAGCCTCTATACACACAATAGATGGAGCCACTATACACACAGTAGAAAAATTCTTGTAAAGCAAGCGACTCTATACACAGAAGTCCCTCATCCCATATAGTAGGTCTCAGGGGAGAGATAGTGATCCGCGAGATGGCGCTTTATTAGTGTATTGTAGCTGCAGAAATCAGTTATCCCTAACCCTAACCCTAATCCTAACTCTAACCCTAACCCTAATCCTAACTCTAACCCTAATCCTAACCCTAACCCTAACCCTAATTCTAAAATAAAACAAAATTACCCAAAAATAATAAAATTAAATAAGAGACCAAATTAGCCAATCAGAGCCGTCCCCTAGCGGATCACTATCTCTCCCTTGTGCAAAATTTCATCCCATAGAATTAGGAGCTACTCTACACACAGTAGAAAAATTCCCTCTACAAACAGAAAGTGAAGCAACTCTATGCACACAGGCAAACGTCCTTCTTTTCACAGAATTAGGAGCTACTGTACACACAGAGGAGGAAGTTCCATTATATACCCAGAGGAGGCCACTATACACACAGTAGACTAGCACTTCTCATTTGCTTCAATACCTGAACTGTCATCGTAGCATGCGGTGAGAATTCTGAGTTTCTGTAGCCTCAGATCAGAGCTATCCAACGCAGTGGGTACCAACAGGTGGTGCTGCTGAGACTGCATCGAGGCAGCTAGTGGCGACACCTGTGGACAAGCGCAATAACTACAGCATTACACACCCAAGTCATATCACCTTTTAACGAACTTCTAAAATGCAGCTAGTAATCTTTAACAAGCAGTGAACAAGTTGTGCAGATACACACTGTTGTGTATTTTGTCATTTTTATCTTGAAACCGCAAATTCTAATAACTTTTGTAACTTTAGTACTACCTCACTTAATCTTCATGAAACAATTCTGCACAACCAATGTGAATAGATCCAGCTCTGAAATATACCACTGAGAATGTTACAACGAGCCTCACAGCATTACCTGCTAGTAAGACTATCTGCATGAGAAAAAAGTGGGGACTCAAAAAAAATTGGGTTCGGTGAGGGATCTGAAGCTATGGATTCTGTACAACACAATTGGTGACATTTCCTATAGACAGATAGAGATAGAATTTAAACAAGTGCGCGGCGGCCAGCGACAGCGCTCATCTAACGTCTACTGCGGTGACTCTGTGGTGGAGTGGTGGGATTCTAGTTACCCTGTTAGTCCCAAATGTGTTCACATACACGCCGAAACAGTGGGAATGCACGAGGATTGTATCAGCGAAACTTCGTCAAAGAATGTCGTTGGGATCATTATGAAAGTTGCCATGAGATGGCGCGTACGTTTAAGTGTCTTCAGATAAAGATGGAAGCTCCATCGTACGTCGTAGAACAACTATTTGGCAAGACAGAATAGGTAAGCACTCATCCATTTACCTACGCAAGCCTACAGGCTGCAATAGAGAGATGCCACCTGTAACCAATTAACGCAGGCAAAAACTACACAGCTACCACCCCACATGCACTGGCAGTGGCCACTGGCAGTGGCATACGTTACATGTAACATCTGACAGTACAGAATGCCATAGAAATTATGACGACTTAAGGAGCATAAACCTTCTTCAACAAATTTAGCTTTTGAAATTTCACTGTGACATTGTAGCCTCAGTACATCCAGCATGTATAGATTCTACTAGCAAACCCGGCCAGTCAAATTCTTTCTAACAGACAGTAAACAAATCCATGTTTAACCGCTCCTCTTGAGGCGTCAAAATGTTATCTGACACTTACTCTTCGCATGTCAGCAGAAAGTAGATTTCCATGCGTCCTTTCAATAAAGCCATTAAAATGCTAGGTCACCGCCTGAAAACAAAAATTTTTTTCAATCGCTCCGTCAGAGCATGTGCCAGAAAATGTCTAAAATCTGCCCTGTGCCCATTACCTTTGACCTTTGACCTCCAATTTCGGCACAGTGATGCTTTTCCTACATGATGCTATACACATACTACCACGAGCCTAGGTCGAGCCTTTAGATTTGTGCCGCAATCTCGCATCCCATTCTTTTACACCTTCTTTGGACCTTTGACCTTTGATCCCCAGCCTTCGACATCCCAACTCGTTTTGACGATCCCCCCCGCGTCGCTGAACATTCGTGATCCGTACGTAAGGCGTTAAGATTTGTGCCAACTGTTGACGCCCACGGACGGACGGCCGACGCACGCATGCACGCACCCACGCACGACAGACGGACGGACGGAGCGGACGATCGTGCGATTCTACAAGCTGCATCTGACTTCGTCAGATGAGCTAAAAACACTAAAATCTATTTAATTTGTAACATAAAAACTTGGATAACACACTATTATACAAGAATATATAACAAGCATACATTGTTAAGATCATTAGATTGAGAGACATTAGATTAGATTAAGACATCAGATAGCAATTCACTATTAAAAAAATTAAAAAAAATTAAATTCTAAAAAAACACAATTTTTCTCAAGATGGAAATCCATCTACAGAAGGACAGTTAACACCCATGTAGCTGCATCTCTCATTGGCTGCTTCTCACCTCGATGAATGTTCGAGGCCAGTGCAGGCAGAGTAAGACGGTTGGCTGATAGACAGGCCTCTGCATGGTGACGTGCCCGCAGCAAGGCATTGTGTACAGGCTACGTCTCCTCCGCATCCGCGAGAATAGATCGTCAGCAACATCGTCTGCAACGCGACCGTCGGCAGCGAGTTCACATAGCCGGAATGAAGCTCTTCGTGAGAGCTTTCATATGCGTGCGCGACTTCCTGTGCGCGAGTTGCGTATCGCATGCGTGCATGTGTGTATCCATAGTCGTGCGATATGTGTTTTGCGTGCGTCGCATTCATCTGTGTTGTGCCGTCGTAATCCGTATCGTCGTGCATGTGCGTGGCGTATTAATGTACGTGTGTGTCGTGCGTGCGTGCGTTCATAGGTGTGTTTGTGTATGTGTATGTGTAGTTTGATGTGCGTGCGTTGCGTGCTGTTTTCATGTGTGTGTCTTGTGTTATGTGTGTGTTAGTGTAGGGTATATTACAATAAATAATGTCATCCACATTACCAGCAGGTGAGGCAAATTGAGACTATAAATCGGAGGCTGAGAGAAGTTTCTTCGTGGAAGCTTTTATATGGCATTGCGCAGGATGTTACTGCACATTGCCAATGCAGATAATGTGTGCACATGGCGTGCTTATACGGTGCGTGTGTGTTGTGCATGCGTGTGTGTGTACGTGTCTGGCGTGAGCGCAGTGCTGCGTGCTGCAGGCCGTGGCGAATGCCGTGCGTGCGTGCACATGCATGTGTGTTCGATGTGTGATGTGTGTATGTGTGTGGGTATTACTATGTAGGAAATTATTACATCAATAATACCTTGCCAGCATTAGCCAGCCAGGTTGAGCAATGGCACACATGGTGACAGCGTATTTCATCATCGATTGTTCTGCGAAAATCTATTAGAAACAGATGAGAGAGTGAGAGCAGACAAAGCAGCCGAAAGAGAGAGACCAAGGAGCAGGGAGAAGGGCGAGAAGAAACGAGAGAGAGAGGAGAGCGAGAGAGACGAGAGGAGTAGAGAAGAGAGAGAGACGCAGAGAGAGAGAGGAACGAGAGAGAGAGAGAGAGATGAGGAAGAGAGAGAGAGGAGAGAGAGAGAGAGAAAGAGAGAGAGAGGAAGAGAGAGAGATGAGTCAAGATTTTTACATCTTAAGTGGAGCAAAATTCATATTGGCAGTTAGTTTATCCATCATCACACACTGTAGTGCTTAAATATGACTAGGATCCTAGTCAACTTATAGCATTAAAATTATGACAGTAAACCTCCAAAGACCAAGATAAAGCAAGTCAATATCATTAATATCTATCTATATAATTAAGCAAAACACAGAACGACATACTAATGGCTATATTTATCATATCTGTGGTATCAACATTCTAATTTCGAGATCACTATGGCCACATTATGCGAGTAATATCTCACCATAGGCGTGATCCCTGAAGCTCTGACTACGTCAGTGAGTTGATGAAGCAGCATAAACCTTGCCTGCGGGGTCAGTTGGTCACACATATCCAGCACGATTAGCAGAGCTCGCCGTAGCTCTCTCATGTCAAGATGGCTTGCCAAGCACCAGTCTTTTCTCTATCATCCATACATATGTCACAGAAAATACACCATTACATGTTATAAAGTTAACTCTTTATTAGTGGTCACTTTGATACAACAGATCCCAATCGATAAAAGACACTTTAAGTGATTCCCTTGAGTAGCAGTTGTGAAGTGAAATCAGCCTTATATTTTACAGACACCTACCCTGCCAGATACCTTCATATATATATATATATATTGAAATATACTTTTACATTCTATATACTAAACAAATAGCATTTGCTCTAATGAAAACAGCAGCAAGTGGGATATAATATTCTCGAGTTTATTGCATATTCACATGCTGCCACCTGGTGATCACACTGGCAACACAATGCTCATATTCATCAGGACCTTCAACAGTTATACCTTTAACAACTATGGAATCACACACGTTCTGTATCATATCATAACATAACAACGCACCTGCTTACAGAGATGGAAGGCATTAGCTGCATCGCCGGGAAGAACGAGAGGTTTCAGTAGCTCTGTGCGATCGTTCAGCATCCTTGTTATGCAATCCGATGGCACGCTGAAATGTGAGGGCAAAAAAACAACCGATGGCACCTAATAACCGTGTGCTCTTAATCGCACCATTCATAAAAACGCTGGTCCCACTAACCCCACAATTTGACACAGGGCATAACTTAATCCTATTTACATCCATCAGGACATGTGCTGGTACATCAGGCAGTGCTAACCAAACTTAATTGTTCCATATGTGTGAAAATGGTCTTTTCCTCTCCGTTTCTCTCAGGATCTCTCTCACCAGCAATTGGCTCGATACTTTGTTATAAGTGGCAACATGGGTACCCCTCCGTTCAATAGCTGAACTGGTTTACAAGGCAATGAGCGGGGTTTTTGCAAAAATAACTAGCATGAGAACGTATCAGGGAACAACAGGGACCAGTGATGGGTGGCCCAAATGTACTCGATTGTCAATTGGGAAAGTAGCTGGGACTGTAATAAAAATTAAATATTAATGCGATTAAATATTCTAGCATTCCAGCTCTAACAAAACCCCTGCTTTAGAAAAACTGGTGAAGGGCATTAGAAGGACAGAGTGAGCCAAATCTGAACCCCTAATGAATTTAATGACCACCAATACTGCAACACTTCATATACAGTCATGTATATGAAAGGTGCCTTCCCAGAAAATTTCAAGCAAAAAACATAAAATCAGGCAAACATGAATTATTTTAACATTGCACGTTTGTACTTGCATATATATGTGTGATAGGTAAAAAAAATGCCCGGGAATACGTTCATTCGAAGCTTTTAGACTACAAAGTGAAAGTGTTGGGTCGAATGTTTCAAACAGCGTTTACTTTTTCCGCTCTGCAGCGATGTTGTGACGCGTCTCTTGTTGCCATGCGGTGTTGCCAAGCGCTGAAGGTCATGAAGGATGCATGTGCTCATCTGTTATATGATATCTATGGCTGTGCATAACGTGACCTGCGTCGACTCTTCCCGCCATGATGCAGAACCGCTGCGACACGCGTTTTTCGAGTTGTTTTTTCGTTGAGCGAATATAAGCTTGA